TATCTGCTATAGAGGCAGAAGAAGGGGTGGGATGAGGGTGTGGATACTGGGAACAATAGTAGTGAAAAATATACACTGGTGGAGGTATAGGTGCCCAATCATTTTATGAGTAAAACTCAGACAAGAAAGCTTTGTTATTGTATCTCTTAGTGATTTCACTTTAACTGTCACTGTTACGGTCCTCCCGTTGTTCATCTATTTACTCGGGCGGGCCCAGTAACATTGTGAGACTTGTTACTGTGTTTGGCATGTCGAATACGCCACAAGTAGCTTGCCAGGCTTTGCTGTATGGGAGAGGTACTCTCAGTAGCTTGCAGGGCTCTCTGAGAGGGGCAGAGGAATTGAACTCGGGTCGACTGGGTCGGCCACATGCAAGGCAAACTTCCTACTCGCTGTGCTATTGCTCCATCCCCCATGGTGATTTAATAAAAAAAGAATAAAATAAAATAAAATTTTAAGAATTCACAGAGCATCCATACTAGATATCCCATACTCTGCACCACTGATGTACCAAGAGTAGCACACCACATTTGATGGGGTATAAAGGAGAAGGCAACCAATCTCAAGGTAACAATATGATATTTTAGCACAGAGGGTAGGGTGTTTGTCTTGCACTCAGCAGACCTAGGTTAGATTCCTCCACCCCTCTCGGAGAGCCCAGCAAACTACCCAGAGTATCTCGTCTGCACACCAAAGCCTGGCAAGATTCCAGCAGCATATTCGATGTGCTAAAAACAGTAATAATTTTCACAATTTGTTGTGAGATGTTACTGGTGTCCTCTGGAGCAAATCAATGAAAAATGGGAGGACAGTGCTACAGTGCTATATATTTCTATATGCATATATCATAGTCCTCCCATTGTTCATCGATTTGCTTGAGCGGGCCCAGAAATGTCTCCATCGTGAGACTTGTTGTTACTATGTTTGTCATATTGAATATGTCATGGGTAGCTTGCTAGGCTTTGCCGTGCGGGCGAGATACTCTCAGTAGCTTGCTGGACTCTCTGAGAGGGGCAGAAGAATCGAACTCGGGTTGGCCAAGTTGGCCGCTTGCAAGGCAAACGCCCTACCCTCTGTGCTATCGCTCCAGCCGATATGCATATATATACATATATAAAGCACACAAGGGTCAACTTTAACAGCTTATTAATAATATCTCTTACATGGGCTTATAGGCTGCAGGGTCAAATACACACCTTCCTCTAAGAAAACTCTTTTGGATCATTTTTAGTGTATTATTCATAATAACTAATATAAAAATTATTAAGGTCCTGTTTGGGGGGCAGGGTTTGGGTATTGGGGTGGAAACATTCAAAATATGGTGGTAGGTTGGTGTAATGATGGCGGAATTGGTGTTGGAAGATTATATGTAACAAATTATTGTGAACAGCTTTATAAAAATGAAATAAACTTTAAAAATTTAAAGAAATAAAATAAAAGTTATATAAAAAAGTTTTTCTGAAAAATTCCTTAGCTTTAATCTGTATATATGTGTATGTGAAGTGATTTTTAAATGTATTTTTGACAGTATCTTGTTGGCGCAGAAATACTGTACTGATTTCCTAGAGTTACTATATGAGGTACCATAGTCAGGGCAGTTTAAACAACAGAGATTTATTTTCTTAGAATTACAGAGGATAGAAGTCAAAGATTGAGATGTCAGCAGGGTGACATCTTCTAAAGATCTCTCCCCTAGTTTTGTAGAAGGTCATTATCTTCTAGTATCTTTACATGTCCTTCTCTCTGTATTTTTTGTCCCAGAAATGAGTCATAATAGATTAGGTCAACTCTAGTGACTTTTTTTTTAACTTCTGTAACATTTCTGTTTTCAGATATACTACATCTCCAAATATATGCCATTCTGGTGTTAGGGCTTCAACATAAAAAGTTAGAAGAGACAAAAATTCAGCTCCCAACAATTGCTTATCCTCTAGAATTTAATTAGTTTTGCCTTGCATGTGGCCGACCCAGTTGACCCAGGCTTGATTCCTCCACCACTCTCAGAGAGCCCGGCAAGGTACCAAGAGTATCTCTCGCACAACAAAGCCAGGAAAGCTACCTGTGACGTATTCAATATGCAAATACAGTAACTAGTGTCACAATGGAGACAATACTGGGCCCACTAGAGCAAACTGATGAACAATGGGAGGACAGTGACAGTAACAGTGACAGTGATATATATATATATATTTATATATATATATTCATCTTTAATGGTAGAATGACAATTGTCTATATAGTCCATAGCATCTTTAACCTTTTAAATAGTCATTTGTAAAGCAGGTAGGGAATTTGCCTTTCATGTGTCTGACCTGGGTTCAATTCCCTGGAGTCCCACTAGGAGTGATCTTTGAGCAAAGAGCTGGAAATAAGTCCTGATCATCATTGTATGTGCTCCCTCTGAAAAATAAATAAACAAACAAATAAATCAAAGTTACCATTTGTGGACCAAAACTTTCTCCTCCCTAATCTCTGGTCTCCAGGGCACATATCTGGAAATTATTGTTTTCTTTTTTTTGTAATTTTTATATATTTTATTTCCATAGAGTAGCTAACAATAGTTAATTGCAGGTAATATTCAAACCCCATTCCCACCACAATAAGAGGGAAGTGTGTGAAGGTTGTTGTATTTCATTTTGGAGCCATTTAAGCCTGTATATAAGGGAATACATCCAAGTATGTTAAAACCAAACAAATGTGTGCTACTTTTGGTACGAAAGTGGGCTAGAGTATAAGAGGTCATGCATTTGCAGCCACACGCTCCAGGAAATTATGTTTCACTGTCTTTTGGGAGCTTTAGTTTGTAGTCTCTGGATCTTGATGAGATTACATAGCGACAGGGGCAGTTCGTGGGTGTGACTGCCAAGCTACTGGGAAACTGAGGAGCTTGGGGGAACAGGCCCTGTCCCAATCCAAGCGGGCTTGGAGGTCTCAGTCACAGGGCCCACATGCTTGTGTTTTTCTGCTCATTCCCATTGGGTGAGGCTCGTCTGAGTGTGTGGAGGGTGGCCTTGAGCATGGCAGCGGTTGGGTTCTGGAGATTCTCAGCTACTGGGGTTCTGCTTGGGGTGGGGAGGGAAACTCAACCCAACCCCCCCCTCCAAGGTGACCCGATGAAGACAGCCTGGTGCTGGGTCAGGACATTCTGCATTACACTCTTCCAGGAGCTTTCGTTTATAGACTCTGGATCTTGGCCCTAGATGAGATTACATGGTGCCAGGGCAGTTTGTGGGTGTAACTTCCAAGCTCCTCGAAAACTGGGGAGCTGGGGGGAGGAGGCCTAATCTCTATCTGAATGGGTTTGGAGGTCTTGTTCATGGGGCCCACATACCTGGGTAGGAAATTATTATTGTTAAAGAGAGAAAGGTAAGCAAACAAAATTTCTGTGTCTTTGGATCCTCTGATTGCAGAATTGAAGATTTGAGAGATAAATATTTTTCCACTAGGTGTCAAACCCACTTCTATTGGTTCAATATCCACTTGGGAACTCAAATCAAGAAAACAGAAAAGAATGTTCATTGCAGCACTATTCACAATAGCAAGGATCTGGAAACAACCCAAGTGTCCAAATATAGACAACAGGATAAAGAAACTATGGTACACCTAAACAATATGCCGCAGCCAGCCCAGCCAAGCCAGGTTCGATTCCTTCGCCCCTCTCAGAGAGCCTGGCAAGCTACCAAGAGTATTCAATATGTCGTCAAACATGAAGGAGCAAATTTAAAACAAAATCATATCATAATTCTTATGTGATCTTACGTAGTCAGACAGACTAGGATTTTAATCCTTATTCCATTACTAACTGGAAGTGTGAGTATCAGGTTCAATTTTCTTATCTTTATTGAGGTTGATGAAATTAAATTTATTGTAATTTAATGCTTCATTTAAAAACTTTATTCACTTTTGGTTTGGGGATGCACTTAGCAGTCCTAGAAATCACTCCAGACAGGGCATAGGGGACCGTATGCAGTGCTGGTTCCAATCTGGGATCAAAAACAAGTAAGGCAACTGCCTTAATTGCTGCACTTTCTCTGGTTTATAAAAGTCCCTTTTAAATGGAACTGCTAATTTGTAACTTTGTATACATTTTAATTCACATTTTATGTATATAAAATAGCCCATACATTTTTTGAATTTCTTTTCATTTTATTTTTTTAATTTTTAATTTTTATTAGTGAGACACCATGAGGTACAGTTGTAGACTTACAAATTTTTGTGCTTGGGTTTCAATTATACAATGATCAAATACCCATCCCTCCACCAGTGCCCATTTCCCACCACAAGCCCATACATTTTAAGTGTATCATATGATTAGTCACGTAAAAAAGTATTTGAAATACATATAGTATGGCTTTCTGATTCATGTTTTCTCAGTATATGTTACCTTCCTTTATCTAATTCTGTATCCTCTTCTTTTCCATGGAGTGTGTTGATGCGTGAAAGGTTTTGGTAAAACAAGTTTTGATCAATTAAAATAAATGAAAGACAACAATAAGAATTAACTTTATAATTCTTGAGCAAACTATAATTTGAGAAATCCTTTTATCGAAAAGCTCTTTGAAGCAAGCAATTACTAAGTGGAAAAATAACATGCTGTCACTATCATTCCTCTTTCCTCCCTATGACTATTGTCATTATTGAGAATAAGAATTTTATAAGAAGCAACAGTATGTATTTTATGCTCCCTTTTACAGTATTTTAATGAAGACTAGAAGCTTTTGATTATCAAAGCAATAATAAGTTTTAACTGCTGATACCAGACTTAAGAACAGATTAAAAAAAAAAACAAAGGAAATAAAATGGAGTTGCAAACTAAATTAAAAAAGAAGCAAAGATAACTGTTTTATTAATTTGCTTAAAATAATGTAATCATGCTGAAATTAATTTTGACATTGATTTATTGACCATTCCAATTCATACACACATATTCCAGGTATGTAGAGGATCTAAATCAAATGGCTATGATGACACTGATTTTCATCATTGTATTTTTTTTTTCATGTCAGATAGGTTTTGTGCCAAGTTCTAAGATTAAAGGGAGGTGCATGTCACATAGAAGTGTCATCACCTGATTATCATGCTTATGAAATGGAAAAGGATCCTAGAACATTGTACTTATACCTGCAGTTTATTTCTCTGTTTTTCACAGTCACTGATACTTTTTATATTTTTCCTTCTCCAGACACTTTTTTAAACTTTTCATGTATAAACACTTTTTTGGTTGCACTCAGCTCTGCTCAGACCCTGCTCCTAACTCTATGCTTATGGATCACTTTTGGCTAAGCTTGGGGGACAATAGCAGGCCACGTACCTTCCCCTTTGTACTACCTTCCCCTTTGTACCCTTCCCCTTGTGTTTGGGAGATGACATATTTTAGCTACCAAAGGAGCAGAGATTATTCATTTAACTGAATTAGCAGAATTCTTCCTCTAACTGGGCTAATGAAGACTGAAGTCAAACTAAAATGGGATAAAATTGAGGTCTACTATCGGAGAAGGCTCCAGGTCCAAACAGCGTCAATATCACCGGGAAGTCCCATATGGGGTAGGTGCTGCATCGTGCCTTCTCCAGATGGAACCCCGGTGACCATGAGCCTCTACAAGCATAGCTCGGGCATGCGGGAACCAGGACATTTACTCCAAACCACACGGCCACTTACGCGGCCACGCAACATCTCCTTATATACAAAGTGATCAATGGAAAGTAAATCATCCAACGTTTCTCCCTGAAAATCAGGCTTAACTCTTTTGCAAACCACATCACCCAAAAGGAAAGAAAGAACAGAGCGGAATGCCCTGCCACAGAGGCAGGGTGGGATGGGGGGGATGGAGGTGTGTGTGGGGGGATACTGGGATCTGTGGTGGTGGGAAATGGTCACTGGTGGAAGGATGGGTATTCAAAATAAATAAATAAGTAAATAAATAAAAATTAGATCTCAAAAATAATTGAGGTCTAGTCAAATAGAAATCAAAGGAGCCTTACTAAAATCTAGAAGAGGGTCTAAACTTTAGCAGATAGGTAGAGGAGAGCCTTTGCCAACAAATACTACAGTTATTTCAGTCTTTTTCTGATTCCAGTCTTTAAAGACACTGCATTTCTGTGCTTGGTCTGTTACTTTCTCTGGTGGACGTGCTTCCTCCATCCTTCTTTTGGAATATTTGTCATGTATTGAGTTTGAAATCCACCAAGAATAGTGTAACATTCTCCAGAAATTTCTGTTAACATCATCATGGTCTCCCCTTCCTCGCTTTGCCTTGAAAAAATGTGATTTATTAGTCCATTTAGCTAGAAGTTTGTGGAGGCAATGAGGATAAGGGTAGTACTGTAGCACTGTCCTCCAGTTATTCATCGATTTGCTCGAGCGGGCACCAGTAATGTCTCCTTATGAGACTTGTTGTTACTGTTTTTTGGCATATTGAATACAGCACAAGTAGCTTGCCAGGATCTGCCCGGCGGGGTGGGGTGATACTGTGAGTAGCTTGCAAGGCTCTCTGAGAGGGATGGAGGAATTGAATCGGGATTGGCCACATGCAAGGCAAATGCTCTGCCTGCTCTGCTATCACTCCAGCCCAGGGAGGAAGAATACTCTAAGTTGGTCCAAGACTCTAAAGTCATCTTATGTTCCAGATGCAAATATATGTGAAAATAGATGTCAATTAAGCCTTCCCTCTTGTATGGGAGCCAGTCACCAGGGCTGGAGAGTGGGGTGGCAGTAGAAAAGTGAGGGTGCTACCACTGAGGTTTGTCAATGTGCTCCAGGGCATAGAGGATCCTTGGTCTTGATTTCTGATCCCTCTGACCTGATCACGATCACAATCATCCTGTTGTTTGTCGATTGCCTTGAGCATGCACCAGCAATGTCTCCTTCGCCCTAGCCCTGAGATTTTAAAAAGTGCCACATTCAAAGCTCTTTCAGGGTTAGGAGAATGAGACCCATATTTGTTACTGGGTTTTGGCATATTGGGTATGCCATGGGGTGTTTGCCAGACTCTGCCGTGTGGGCAGGTTATACTTGGTAGCCTGCCAGGTTGTCCAAAGTAAGAATGAGATAATAAGGTGTCGCGTGGCTGCATTTGCTTCCAGGAGCTGGGTTTTATAGTCTCTGAGTATTGGCCATTGATGGAATTACACGACACCAGGGGGCCAGTTGGTGGGTGTGACCCCTGCCTACTGGAAGATGGAGGATCTGGGTGGAGGATGCTCAGCACCGATCTGAGCAGACTTGGAGATCTCAGCCCTGGGACCCGCATGCCTTTGTTTCTCTGCCGGTACCTTCATGCGAGTGGAGAGTGGTCTCAGCATGGTTGTGGCTGGTTCAGGAAGTCTTTGCCTGCCGAAGCTCTTCTTGGGGTGGGGAGGGAAACCCAATGCACCCACCTCCAAGGGGCCCTGGCAAGGACAGCCAGGCGCGGGGGCAAGAGACTCCGTGCTGTTCTCTTCCAGGAGCTGGGTTTTATAGTCTCTGGGTCTTGGCCGTTGATGGGATTACACAGGCACCAGGGGTGACCTGATTGTTCACAAAAATGAAAATTCAAATCTGAGTGTATTCGCAACTGCCCTCAAAGCAAAGGTTACTTTTGAGCTCTTCTATCTCTCTATTCACTATGATTTGTCTTTGAGTTAATTAGTCCATATTACTAGTCTTAATCACTTAATCACTTAACTTCCCGTTAGTCGTCGATTTGCTCGAGCGGGCGCCAGTAACGTCTCCATTTGTCCCTGTCGCGTGCTAGTGTAGCCCAATGGCATCTGTTCGCTCCGGGAACATGAAGGGCCTCAAACCGATCATGATCTTCAGGAAGAAGTCTGACCATCTGGTAGGTGGGCAGCCACGCGGTCTCTTGACATCCCGTGGAATCCAATCAGTAACAGCTCTAGTCCAACGGTCGTCTTTAAATCTCATTACGTGACCAGCCCATCTGATTTTCGACACCTTGGCATATGAGACAGCATCCCTGATCCTTGATGTCAGAACTCCGGATTCGTTCTCTCATTTGAGTGAAACGTGATATTCCTAGCATAGCTCTTTCTATTCTTCTTTGGGAGACCTGAATAGCGTTCTCATCTTGTTTGCCTAGGGCCCAGGTCTCTGAGGCATATATTAATGCAGGAAGAACAGTGGAATCAAAGAGATGTGCCCGGAGCTGGAGCTTCTTCATCCACTTAGCTATTTCTTCGATGTTCTTGAAGGCGTTCCAAGCCGCTCTCTTCCTCCTGCGCAGCTCGGGTGCCAGGTCATTTGTCATGTTGACCTCTCGACCTAGGTACACATAGCTGTTGCATTCGGAGATGGTCGTTCCATTGAGAGCGAATGGGGCGTCAGGAACAAGGCTGTTTCTCATAAACATTGTCTTCGTAAGATTCAGTTGTAGTCCTACCTTTCCACACTCACGGTCAAAGTCGGCCAGCATTTGTGCCGCTTGGCTGATGTTTGGTGTTATTAAAACAATGTCATCAGCAAAGTGGAGGTGGTGTAGTTGCCGACCATCTATCTTCACTCCCATTCCTTCCCATTCCAGTCGTCGCATGATGTTCTCGAGGGTGGCACTGAAGAGTTTCGGTGAAATGGTATCACCCTGCCGCACCCCTCTCTTGACATCAATGATCACTTCTTTGTAGAATGGTGAGATCCTGGTAGTGAATCCGCAATACAGCTCACGGAGGATCCTGATGTATTGGGCTTGAATGCCCTGATTGGCTAGGGCTTCAATGACCGCTTCCGTCTCAACAGAATCAAAGGCCTTCTTTAAATCAATGAATGTTAAACAGAGCGGCATCTTGAACTCTCGAGAAACCTCAATGAGCTTGGTTATCGTGTGGATATGATCAATGGTGCTGAATCCTTTGCGGAACCCGGCTTGCTCGCACTACTTCCACTACCCAGCCATCGCCACACTCCAGGACGCTTTCCGGACCCGCGTGGCAGCTCCGGCCGAGACCCACGCACGACTGAAGACCCACAGAACAAGATAAGCGGAACTCTCTGAGACCTTGGACTCCAGGCTCGGCGGACCCAGGGACAGAGCTTCTCTGCTTGCTCCCACCACCACAGGTGACAAAGGGATTCTAATCAGGAGCCCCACCCTACCCTGCCCTGTCTGCTTCCATCAACCACCCAGGGATCGAATTGTGCACAGGAGACCCACCCTACCCAGATAAATACCCCACTGGCAGACTTCCATTCTCGACACTACTTCCACTACCCAGCCGTCGCCACACTCCAGAATGCTGTCTGGACCCGCGCGGCCGCTTGCGGCCGCGCGACACATCATAAGACACTAAATACCCATCTTCTGGAAGTGTTGTACCATATTTGATAAGGTTCAAATATGGTAACACCTACAAGGGTGATTAGCGGTCACCCCAAAAGCCTCTATCCCTCTCGGAAAGACTGGCAAGCTACCGAGAGTATTCTGCCCGCACGGAAGAGCCTGGCAAGCTATCCGCTGTGTATTCGATATGCCAAAACCAGTAACTACAACTGGTCTCATTCACCTGACCCTGAAGGCTTCACATATTACTAGTATTATTCAGATAATTGCTATCTTCCAGCGGTAAGGCATTTGCCTTATAAGCTGCCAACATGGACAACCCGAGTTCGATTCCTCCGCCCCGAGTTCAATTCCTCCGCCCTTATCGGAGAGCCCGGCAAGCTACCGAGAGTATCTCGCCCGCTCGGCAGAGCCTGGCAAGCTACCCGAGACGTATCGATATGCCAAACACAGTAACAATAAGTCTCATGATGGAGACGTTACTGGGCCCGCTCGAGCAAATCGAATTGCTGTCTTTCATCGAAAAACTGTTGTGAGTCTTTTAGGGTCTGTTTTGCTTGAGGCATGATTTACAATTTTTCTCTATTTTTGAAACATTTATGTTGGTTAAAGATGAATGATGTTCTATGTGCAACTGTGCAAGAGGCTTACGTCCCAAGTGTGGACCCAAAACAAAGAAGCAAAAATAAATAAATAAAGGGTTTTAAATGTTGTTCGTCTTTAGTGGCACAAAGCAAAAGATAAACATTTTTTATTTTTATTTTTTGAGTTCAGCCCTTTTGCAGTGTCACCGGGGTCCCAAATGGGCTGTGTGCTGCCAGGGTAAGG